GTTAGGTTTTACAGACCAAAGTCTCTGGTAGTTCAGGAGCAAAGAGCAGGAGGAGAGGAGAAGTCAGGACTGATCGCTGCAGTTACTCCAGTCGAGCCGGCCCGCTGCTTCAACCAAACTTGCTCTCACTGAAAGTCCCGCCCTGCTCTGCTCTGATTGAACAAAACAGCTCTGGACTTCGTCTGATTTGTTGAAGGCAGTATCCATTTAATCCTTAAGTCAGGGTCCCGCTCTGGCGCACCGAATGATACAGTCACACCAGTGCGGCTGGATTCTATTTTATTTTTTTGAAGAAATCAGGTTGCCTTTGTGACCAAACTGGTCACACTCTAGAGCCCTGCTAGCTGTTGTTTTGACAGACAATCAGGTACAATCTTAGGTACGCAAGGGAGCTTTATGACGTCCCATCTGGTGCGCTTTTTCCTTTTTTGATTGCGCAAGCGCACCTGCACACCACTTATGTGCACCTCTGGTCATGATATCACCAGATGTCCTGCTCAGTGTTCAGGATCACTCTCAGCTACTGTCAGTATCCAAAATGATGACAGAGTTATGGCTCACTAAGTTCATTTGTTTTGGCAGCCATCTTGAATCGGGTTAACTCCAAATGTTAATCAGCTGTAGCTGGACGTCCCTTGATTAGTTTCAATCGGTTTAGTGTTGATGAGATGTTTTACAGATGAACAGACACTGATAAAGACAGTCTACCTTTGCCTTTTAGCAGCAGGCAATAGTAAAGCTTTGGTTTGGTCTTTCATCTTTGTAACTTCAGACTCTTTACATAAGGGGTGTTCTGATACCAGTTTTTATACGATACAGGTACTTCAGTTCAGCCGATTCCACCAATAACGAGTTAGGACGGTTGAACTTACACATTTATACAATGACTTAAAAACATATATATTTAATTTAGAACAAGGAGTCTCTTCCTCCGTATAAGCCTACAGCCCCTCTGACTGAATCAAATCAAATCTACAGCGTACTGTTGTAAAAAAATGGTAATGAATAAAAATAAATTAGGTTTCTTTCAAGTTTCTTAAACATAAAACTGACAGACTTTTCACTTGAAATGTAAAACGTAACACATTCAATGGATTACCAGTATCAGTACTGGTATCGGCCCCAAGTACAGGGGCATTTGGTACAAGTACTGCTTGTATCAGGACCCCACTACTTCACCCTGACAGGAAGCTACACAGTTCAGATGTGTTTAATCCCGTTCCTTCCTGATCTCTCCCCAGTGGTGGCCATTTACGACTACGCTCGCGACAAAGACGACGAGCTCTCGTTCCAGGAGGGCGCCATCATCTACGTGATCAAGAAGAACGACGACGGCTGGTACGAAGGCGTGATGAACGGGACCACGGGCCTCTTCCCCGGGAACTACGTTGAGTCCATCATGCACTACGCCGACTGAACTCCCACTGAGCGGGAGGAGCGTCCGGTAGAGGTGGGAGGAGGAGGAGGAGGTTGAAGTCTTCAGTCAGAAGGAGCATGATCGCCTCGGAGCGAAGAGACGGAGGAAACAGTTTTATCGGACCTGACGAACTGATGTGGTCGCCATTGTAAAACAACCACTGCTTTAGATATATCCTCTCTTGTAATATTTCTTTCTTTATTTGACCGAGGAGGAGTGGACCATGACGGCTTTGTTTAGAGTTTTGTAAAGCCACAACATTATTTTTTTCCCTTTCTGTTGTTTGCCCTTTATTTGAAACAATATTTATTTGTAGTTGGACACGTTTTGGGTTCAGCTAACATTTACACACGGCAGCGTCGGAGACAAGGGCTGGAGGAAAATGCCTTCAATGTGTAGATTTCTCCTCAACACTCCAGAGACAACAATATCCTCAGAGCTGGTAGGTGGGGGGGTGGATTTCCTGTTGGGTACCTCAGGGACGGTGCCAAAGCTTGAAACGAGAGCACTTCAGATGTCCTGGAGCTAAAAACAAGACATCTGGAAGCTAACGAGAATCCTCACGAGTGCTTTAAAATCCACTTATTTTGTGCAGTTTGTTTGACGTGAAGCCAAGTAGATGGAAATAAGTTTCAGCGGTTAGCTTCACTTTGCGAGCCGGTGTTATTTCTAGAGTGAAGGAATCGTCATCCAGCCCTCAACTTAATAAAAAAAGATAAGTGAGGATAATATTAGGTTTTAAACTTGCAGGCTCTTGTTTTGAATAATAGTGTGTAAACTTAACTGGTGAAGCTAATCTGACGTTACAATTTAACATAATTTCTTCCATGAGATCCAGACTTTGAGGGTTTTAATTTTTTTTTTTTTTTTCTTGGAGGGGGGAGACTGCATGTTTCATCGAGGCGGGGAGGGGGTGTTTATCTTCTTAACTGATTATTGTCTTCATATTTTCTGGATGTGGTGTGGTTTGGTTTTCGATATTCACGCAGACGACACATTTAGGTCATTTCTGAAGACGCTTGTGCCATATTGAAGTGTGTGTTGCTGTTCAGAGGTTATCACTTCGTTTGCAATAAAACTGGCCGCAGTGGAGTGGACTGTTGTTGAAAATGCAGATTTTTTTAAGTTTTCCTGAGTTTTAAATCAAAAGCACATACATTTGTAGTAAAAAAAAAAAAAGGTGTAGAAGAAGAAATAATATAACTGAGATGTATTATGTCCCCACAATGGGACGCCAGATGTTGTGTTAAAATGGATTTAACTGTTGCAAGCCCCCGTACTAAGAAAAAATAAAATAAACAATGCGTCATTTGTTCTTCGTATAGTTACGCTTGGGTGTTTTCCAGGGTTCAGTGCTTGTCCTTACGTCAGAAAATTTATTTTCTATTTAAGACAAAAAAATAAGTGGGTCTGTATGTGAGTCTTGCATGCCATTGTTCTTATCTGTACCGGTGTCCCAAAGTTAAAGAATAAAGCAAAAAGAAATAAAAATTACATGGCAAGATCACCCGATTTTTTTCAAGACAAGCAGCCCTGCAGCTCTGATTAGGAACTATCAGCCTCATCCAAAGAGACTGTCCCAACTTCAAACCCACGTCTGAGGAGAAACGCCCTCTGACCTGACAGTAGCCGTCATTAACTCCATCGGTGGATCATTGTGTTTTACGCTGCTAGTGAATCCTGCGGACAGACAGCAGGCGGGATAAGAGTCGAGGATTGTGACGGAGCTCGACTACATTAACACTCCTCGGATGACACTAAAATCTTTACATGTAAGGCCTTTGGTCTGCAGGATTCACAAACTTCTGAAGTGACGTATGTCCCGGCCTCGGGACGTCGACTTTGACAGTCCATAATGCCATTGTGTTGCACAGTTAAAGTTGAATTACAGAATTATCATATTTGTAAAATCATGAGAACAAAGACAATAAAATTATTAAGATTTATTGGTGCAGAATTGTGTTTCTTTTAACCACTATGACTCACACATTCAGGCAACTTTTTAACTCTGACTGCAAATATAGTCATACGATTGTTTACTGCTTTTTGTCTTTTCCATACGTTTCTATGTCTGCATACTTGGAGATATTTTACTTGTTTCAAAACACTGTTTGTTCAGGAAATACGTTTAAGGACGTTTGGATTTTGTAACTTTAGTTTTCAAAGTGTTTAACTTTATTTTGACATTTAAACCCCCAAAATTAGTTGAGAATTCTTTAATCCCTTTAAAAGCATTTTCTTTGAAATCTACTTTGTTCGGAGCTCGTTTGCTGACATTGGATAATGATAAAATGTATGCATGCCCACACATTACTCTCTCAGGACCACCAGATAATTATTGTAGTTATTTCCATGTTGACAGTTTATTTCTTACAAGAACAAAGTGTGTGTGTGTATATATATATAATATATATATATATATAT